AGAGAGAGAGAGAGAGAGAGAGAGAGAGAGAGAGAGAGAGAGAGAGAGAGAGAGAGAGACATGAAACAAAAATAAAACGCCATCAGCGAGTGTTGCTGTGCACCACGGCGTAGCCGTGGCGGGGTCCACTCGTTTTTTTTAAAGATCACTCTTTCATTACTTACTCAGAAAAGAGGCGGCCGGCCACCCCACATAAGGACCAGATCTGGGAGCTTTACTTAGTCTTATGCTTTTGACGGGACCCCTTGGGACCCGAGCACGAAGTACCCGAGCACTTGAATACCTCCTGAACTTCATCCTCCTGAGCTTAAACCCTAAACCCTAGTTACTCCTATCTTATCCTCCTACTTCTCCTGCTTCTGTTTACATAGCTCCCTTATTTTTCTTACTCCTCCTGAGGGTCCCTTGGGACCCGAGCACAAAGCACCGGAGCGCTTGAATAAATCCTTAACCTCATCCACCTGAGCTTAAACCCTAAACCCTAGTTACTCCTATCTTATCGTCCTACTTCTCCTGCTTCTGTTTACATGGCTCCCCTATTTTCTTACTCCTCTTGAGGGTCTTGAATTGATCCACCCTTTGACCCCCTTTCTCATTTTTGTCCTTCGAATATTTTAGCTTGTGCCTCAGGAAGACCGTCTTGAACCTAAGTTGACTGTATTTTCTTGCTGGGAAAACTGTCGTTATACCCTTGCAAAAGATGGGACTTTCCGTTTCCTGGTAAAGCAGCCAACTTTGTCGTTGCGCCCTTTGGCTGATTGAGCTTAGTGTCTAGAAGTTCAAACCCACCTTCACGGTGTGTCAACTTATCTGTTTGCCTGGTTCAAGTGGTCAGCCGTTTCGCCTTGCCGATAATTTCCCTATGCCCTGAACCTGGGCATGCACAATTGTTGGTGTCCTCCCCCATGCCCACACTGTTCTCATGCAGGACTCCTAACGAGCAACATAAGTCCTTTCGACCTAGGCAACCATTTGAGGGACTAAATCGGGACCAGATACAGAGACTACCACCCGACACGCGAGAGTTTGCGTTGCAGCACGAGCAGGAAGTCGCTAAGGTCATAGACAATCTGAGAAAGGCCCAGCATCGGATGATAGAGCAAGCTAACAAGCATCGCCGACCTTCACAGTTCCAGGTAGGTGATCTAGTCTGGGGTGAACATTGTGACTGTAGGCACTTGCTACCTTGGGAAGCATCTCATCCCAGTTTATCTGATCTGGTCTAATATACATTCTGAGTAGCTGTTGCAAGATCTTATTCATCTGCTCTGTCTGGCCATTAGTCTCTGGGTGTCGTCTTGACGACATCAACAACTTAGACCCATAGACTTTAATAAGATCCTGCCAATTCTGACTAGTAAACCACATGTCCCTATCACTAACTATGGACAGCGACATGCCATGCTCGCTTACCCAGAAGTCGAAAAACCTACCAATGACTTCGTCTGTACGTGCCTCTGAAGGCAGAGGAACAAACACTGCATACTTACTAAATCTATCTACTATGACCATGACTTGAGTTTTGTCGTGCCTACTTTTGACCCCAGTATCCATAAAGTCAATGGAAACTGAAGCTCCGGGTCCTGATGGGATAGGCAAGGGTCTAAGGAGACCTAGAGGGGCTCTTGTAGTAGTTTTGTTACGCTGACATACCTAGCAGCTGCGTACATACTCTGTGCAGTCTGCTTTCATACCTGGCCACGAGTATGACATCATCAAATTGGCTAAAGTCTTTTGCCATCCGAAGTGTCCTTCCATATCGTGGCATTCCCCTAGGATTAAACTGCAGATCTCTTCACTGTTGGGGACGCACAGTCTGTCAGCGGCATTGGTCTTTTCAAACAGTAGCACGTTCGTGGTTCGGTAGTGTGGCTCACTATCTGGGGCTTCCTTTACTATTCTTCTTCATCTTGGCCCAGGCTTGCCTCCTCTCTCGCAACTCTTCAGCTAAGCCTATGAGGGAAGCGTCTAGAGAGACCCTAACACAGGCAGTCTCTGGACAACCTACTAGACGCTGGCCTGCAACCTCTGCCATGGAGATCTGTGGAGTGGGAGACTCTACTTCGCGCACACGCTCAGATCCTCATACTCCTGGGGTAGGACTACCGACGACTGTCTTTTGCTGCCCCAGACACAGCACGGTCCCTATACTTAGGACAAAATTTTATGATGTGGCCTAGGTCCCCGTAGAATACACACTGAGAATTGTTAATGCGTTCTTGCCATACATTCTTGTCAATACCCAGGTCTTCCCAGGGTCGGCCCTCAGGTCGGCCTGGGTGCCACCACCCTTGTCTAGGAGGTGACCGACTAAAACGTGGACGGTTAGACGGGGGACCTCCCCTTCCTCCCGCTTGGTGGTCACCGTTGCCGCCAACCCCCTGGCCGCCCTGTCCTCGACCACCTGGGGCCCGGCCATTCTGGCCGGACCTTTGTCCTCCTCCTTATGGCCTCCCTCTGATCGCAACAACAGCGTAGGTTCTCCCCTGATCAGCGCTATTGTCTTTCTCCTCTAGTCCCCACTCAATGTCAGAGCAGGGAACTTCCTCAGCACCACCTTCCTCCATCGTCATAATCAGACTATCTTTGGCCTTAATTTGGTCGGAGATGGTGCGTCCCTTCCACGTTTTTCCCTTTGACAGATCCCTGTGCCAGAACGTGGTAACCGGTGATGCTTGGGCGACAAATGCAACTGCCTCCCGACTAAGAGTATCATAGGTCATGCCCTGCTAATTCTTCTTCTCAAAGAAGTGTCCCTGAATATTTCCAGGCAGGGCACGATAGAAAAGGTTAATTAGTTGGGCATCAATTACTCCATGCCCAGGGACCGCAATCAGTTCGTCCATGGCGGACTTAAGAGCATGCACGCTCTTCCATTGGCGTGTGTGTATCATTTGGAGTTTGTCGGAGGCTTTGAGCCCCCATGTCACATCAAAAAATCTCTCCCTGAGTGATTTCAGGAACTCAAAGAGGGGTGTCAATCTAGAATAGGTGACCATATCCTTCTCGCAGTTTGCAGCGTGGGCGAGCGACCTAGCAAAACTGGTCGCCTCATCTCGAAGGGCCTGGAAGGCCACCAAAACGTGGTCCTCAATCGTGACTCCCTGCAAGTACAAGTAGGAGTGCATGTTGGCCTCCCAGTTATCGAAATCCTCCCCCTTCTTTCCACTGAAGGGTTCAGGAAAACGGACTTTGACCTTTTTGCGGTGTGGTGGGGCCGACTCTTCTTCTTTGACGACCGCTATCAACTTGGCGCCTTCAATGGCACCAGTGCAGAATTCTTTCGTCTTACTAATCGCCAGGTGGACCTGGTCCACCAGTACTTCATCATGTCGCGCACAAAATCTTCAAACCCAGCGTGTATCGCATCTATCTTTACATCTAAACTGCGGA